ACAGGTGTTGCTGCTGTGTTTATCCAACAAAAATAAATATGAGAACTAGCAGTCTGACTTTAGTTTCAGAATTCTTATTCAAGTCAGAATTCTTTTATCACACCCCCCTAATCTTCTCCAGTTTAAATGCATGCACTCATACTGACAAACACAGGGCCAAAGATGTCATCATTTTGAGTTGGGAAAGAAAAATACTGTATGGCCCCTTTTTCCCTGTTACTATGCAAACACTCTCTCTCTCATTCACTCACTCACTCACTCACTCACTCACTCACTCACACAAACTTAGTTAAGCAGTACGTTTTGGCAGCTAGTTTTACGTCTCCTCGTCCACACACTTATGAATTAAGGCAGGAAGGAAATTTGTGGCTTTTTTGTTTCTGCGCGCACACAAACACACACGCATGAGCACATGCAAACACAATGGGCAGCAATCCCCCTGTACACGCCAGAGCTTTGAGCAGGGTAGGGATTTTCCTCTTCAAAGAGCAGACCACCCATTGCCAGAACAACGACGGCCAAACTTTGAAAGATTACACTCTTTCTCACACACACACACACACATGCACACACACACAGCCTGTAAAGCCTGCATTATGTACATTATTCATAGACGTACAAGCACATGCAGTCATATGGGTTCATACATACCAGTGCAACCCCAAAGATCACATAGTGCGTATACCTGCATGCTTTATGTGGCACCTCTACACCCCCTCTCACTCTTTCTTCACGCACACACACACACTGCCTTGTGGAACTCACGGGAGAAAGGACATTTTTGTGATGATGGTCACACACACAGTGAAGTGCGTGACCTGAGGGGGCAGCTGCTTGACAAATGCGCAAAGACAGTGGGCAGGAGGGGATCTGCGAACCAGAACACAATGTGGAGGGACAGAAGGAAAGAAATCCAGCTGTTTCCACTCCGAGAAGCAGCCGTACTGTCTCACTCAGGACTGTCCCATGATTTCCTCCAATCTCTCCCATGCTCACTTGCTCAATTAGTTTATTTTTCTTCTTCTTTTGTCCGTTTTTGATGGAGCTGTCTGCCTTGTGTTGTCGCTGATTCTCTCACATGCAAATTAAAAGTATTTGTTGCTTTAAAGCAGCCTTTTGAATTCAAAGACAAAAGATAGCGGGGCTACAAAGAGCACCCTGCGTGTTGGGGTGTTGGCGCGTGGGGGACTGTCGCTCCAAATGTTTAGACCCCCCTTCACACACACATGCAGGCACACACACACACACTCACACACACATGCAGGCACACACACACACACTTCAACCCACATCCTCTCCTCTTTTCTTCTTCTTTTCTTCTATCTTTTGTCACAGAACCAACAAATTAATTTGATGGAAAAATTATCTTTTTGTGAATGACTTGTTCTTTGTGCACAAGCACAATGAAAGACTGTATTGTTCAATTCCTTTCATTGTGAATTGCCATTATTTTCATATTGACAAACAGCGGTTGGCTTGCACGGAGAATTTTGACAAACAGATGCACACACTGGCTGCTTTTAGTCGTATTCATGACGCTCTGTTAGCGGTAGTTGGTATTCACACCTTGTAATGTTGTTATTCTCTGGAAAAGTTTCAAAAAATTCATCCATGAAATTGAAAATTAATTCTGTAAAATAAAAGTGTGTGTGTGTGTGTGTGTGTGTGTGTGTGTCTGTCTGTCTGGCTGTCTGTGTGTGTGTGTGAATGGGGGTATATGTGTCCAGCTGGTGGATTTTATATTCCTCCCTGCACTATATTTCTCTCAGTTTACTGTAGGCCGTCAAACTTCACTGGGGAAAAACTGCTCACGATGCAGAATTTCTGAAGAGACAGATAGTGTTTATTTGTTGGTTAATGTATGAACATCTTATTCCTTCAATGTCTTCCTCACGCTCATTTACTCGCACTAGCCTTTCATCTTCGGCCTTTATCTGGTGATCTTATCCTGAGCAGATTTCACTGCTGCTTTTCCTTTGAATTCCAATGGTTTTTTTGCATATTTGCAAATCAAGGTAAATATACATTAATGTTGTACTGTTGGATATAAAGTGTCTTAGTTAACTTGATGTGAATTTAAATATAGCATGTAACGTCTCAGACTTCAGAGACTGCACATGGTAGTTTCCTCTTGGCCTTACTTCATTATTCTTTTAATTTCGTAGACTTTGCACTTTTGCCATGTATGCAGCCTCGGCTCTGTCCAGTGTTCATCTTGACATCACTCCCAGGTCTCCAGGATGATGCAGCTACTTGGCTTATTTCCAGGTGAGCCTTCCAGAAGCTGCCACAGTCATCAGTAAGGCTGCAAAGAAAATTGGACAACAGTCTCAGTCAGGCTGTGTAATAATCCGAAACTAATTGCATCTCTTTCTTAAGGTTAATATCTGATCAATTAATCAGATGACTAGGTGCTATTTAAAAAGGGTCGCTCGTTGTTACTGAAAATGATCTGTTCCTGGTTCCTCCTGTTGTTTCTCTCTTTTAAATTCCCCCCCCACAAATTCACATTTAGTTCTCTCTTGGTAATCTCATCAACAGCAGAAGAACAAATTTACTAATTTACGTAAGTAGATGGTAAAAAAAAGAGGTAGATATTTTTCTCAGGACTTTGTAGAGACTAAAATCTAACATTCATTAAGTGGACACAAACAAATGTCCTTGATTGATTGATCATGTAGCTCTGTCTGCTGTGTATATTAGCCAGTGCACTAAGAACAACAGTATAAACGTAGTGTAGTACTATGGTGATAATGTGTTGGTGTTGTGCATTCAGTTTATTCCACTATCACCAAATAGCAAAACTGTCTTAACTTTATTATCAGCCATATGATATTAATATAATGTTTTAAATATGTATTTGATTCTGTTCTGATGCACCAACAAAGAAATATCGATAATGTATAGGTAGATTAAATTTAGCTGGATCCATGTCCCTGCAGTAAAACTGTAAAAGGTAATGTCCAAAAGATAAGATGCTAATTTGTTAATGATTTAAAGTCAGCCTCAATGTTTTTTTTATTTCCTTGAAAGCAAATTAAACAGTATGGAAGTATTGAACCACTGAATGACTACTCCAGTGTGTTAAGAGCTCCATAAAAGCTGGGCGTTGGTTACAAAAGTCTAATTTACTGTGTATAACCCTAAGCCATAAAATGTAATATTTACCTGATCATTTCTGTATTTCTTTAGGATATTCTTTTTTTCTGTTTGGGGGAAAAATAAAATAGAGTGCAGATGTGAAACACATTAATTGTTGTTGATCCATTAGTCATTCAGGAAATGCACTTTGATCCGAGAGACAGCAATAAACTCACTGAGTGCTCCGGTCTCCTGTAACGTTCCCGGTCGGTTGGAGATAATGATAATTTTTTTTGGGGCTTGGAGTGAAGTATTCTTTCAACCTTGGTTAATTTGAGGACAAGTGAGCAACGCTACTTCAAATGCCAAAGTCTGATGAAGAAGAATCAAAAACATCTTTTGATGTGCGGTGGCTTGTGCGACCATGTGCCTTTCTGTAGGTGCCGCCCCTCGTTTATGAGGCTTTTTTGGTGTCTACTTGACAACTAAACACAAGCCCTTCTGCCAAACAAATGAGAACGGTGCTAGGGAGAGGGGGCGGCCCGGGCCCAAACTGCAAAGATGGGCACTCTTTGACAGCTGCTTTCATCTTGTTATTATTCCTCCTTCACACTCAAGAATTTTTGGGCTTCCTAAAGTGCTGTATTTCTGTCGCTTTCTCCTTCCTCCCCTTTTCTAACCCTCCACTCTTTCTCTCTTTCTGTCACCAGGCTGTGATTGGCTGTTGTGACAGAGCCATCGCCAGGCTGTCAGCCTCTTCTAAAGCTCACTTTAATTAGTCCTTTTCACTCACATGACACGCTCATGCACAGATGCGCGCAAACTCGCACACACACGGGAAAGTCACTCACACGTAGTCTTGCTGACACACAAACCAATGTGCTCAGCTACGTGCCACGCCGACCTGACTAATAAAAAAAGTAACTCTCCGTCACCCATAATAACGGACGCAGCAGACCCAAAGATGTTTGTCAGTGTTCGTCTCTCTGTTTCCACCACAGAGCTTTGAAAACATGTATATTTGCGAAGGTCCAGCTGCTGCTGGGTTTGATAGGCGCTGATCAATCGCACGCCGCGCTCTGCCAGGCTCTGAATAGCCAATTAAAGCCATTGAGACAGAGGAGAGCATGGGGGATGAAGGAGTGGGAGTTTGATTTGAGAAGGATGATGAAAGAGAAAGGAGTAAAGATGCAGCAGCGGTTGCCATAATTGGTAAATGTTTAATATTCTGTGTCCTAAACTTCATAGTGATCACTCTCTGTTCATTCCTTCCTCATCATTCCTCCAGATATAGATTCCCTGTTGGATGCGCTCAGCTATGCTTCCGTAAACAGAAGACAGCAGTGCAGTGGGTTGCGACCTTGACTGATGGAGGGAAGCTAAGACAGATGTACAGATTTGCTAGAAATGAAGGGGAACAAAGGGAAAGCCTTGTCGCGTGTGAATGCCAAGCCGTCTGGGGTGGGATTCACGTCGTCCTCGATTTTCCCTCTTTACTGTCTCTCCCCACGCCGCCTGTCACCCATCTCCTGCTCATTTACTTTCTCTCACCCCCCTTCATCTCATACCTTTGTCCTTCCTGTCCATGCCCCGATTGTCCCATTCCATTTTTATTTCCTCATTTCCCTGTCCTTCATCCTCCATCCTTTTCTTCTTTTCTTTCTTTTACACCTCTCACTTTCCACCCCTCCTGTCATTTTTAGATATCTCCACCCTTTGCCTCTTGCATCAAATTTTGCGTCCTAATTATTCTAATAATTCTCCTTGTCCCTCCCCAATCACCCTATCTTCGATTTGGTCTCATTTTCCTGTCTTACCTTTTTCTCTCATTGTTGTCCTTCTTCTTTTCCCTTCTTTCCCCACTTCTCTTTCCTTCCTTTCACTCCTACACAACCCCCTCTCCTCCCCTGCTATTGTAGGTACCCTGCCCTACGACATCAAGATAGTAATTGCTGGAAACCATGAGTTGACCTTTGACCAAGAGTTTATGGCTGACCTGATCAAGCAGGACTTCTACTACTTCCCCTCAGCCTCCAAGCTGAAGCCGGAGAATTATGAGAATGTCCAGTCGCTGCTCACTAACTGCATCTACCTGCAGGATTCTGAGGTCACGGTCAGGGGCTTCAGGATCTACGGCTCCCCCTGGTGAGTAATTACTTACTACACTACTGCACTGCACTCAAAAGCACCTTATTCTGCAGCTACTAAAGAAGTTCTTGTTTATGTTTTTCTGCTTTCATTATTTTTATTGTCACTAGTTTCTTCAAAAGTGAAACCTTCTTGTGGTCAGCCATACAGTCTTATATTTCATCTTGCAACTATGGAAACTCAGAGGGGTCATTTCCTGGCCATAGTATTGAGAGTGGTCATTGAAACCTCATTGTAGCAGTTTTAACTGTAACTAATGATTCCAGGTTTCTCAGGCTGGAGTCCTTGCTCATTGCTTAGATGCGAGCGAGGTTGGTTTCAGGCTTTTCCCTTTGTGTTTACAATAAATATTTCCCATAGGTGACCACAGCCAACATCCTGAAAGCAATTCCCTGTAAAAGGTCAAACTGTACCGATTGTGTCTTACAACACTGCATCATTTGATGTGCATCATTTAATAGCCGTATAGCACACACCAGACATACCATACAGACAGATGACCTTTGACCCTGGGGAAAATGCCAATTATTTGTCATCCCAACAACTGTGTCTACTCCTTGTGGTGGGTTGTATCAGTGTTTGTTATCCTTTTGAGTTCATTTGGTGTTGTGTACTTTCAAAAAGTGCATTTCTCAACAAGACTATATAATCATGCTAGAGATAGATACTACAGATACTACAGAAAGAATGTCACTGTCCACAATACTGAGCTTGGTGCTTCCTTGTGTGTAGAAATATATATGTATGACTATATGAACTGAGGTATTGTTGGAGGGTTTAGCACAGTTTGACAATGATACAGGCTTTCAGTGCATCTAGTTTAGAGACCTTTATTATTTCAGTTTTTCACACATAGTTTGCATATTCGTGTTAAGTCCCACTTCTGTTCAAGGTTAATAGGGGCCCAGCAGCTCATCTTTGCAGCGGGGTCCCTAGTAGGTT